AAAAATATTCAATAATATTATCTTTCGCGTCATATCAAAAGTAATTTTATTTTATAATTGCATATCCTAAAATAATTTGCGACATGAATTCAATATTTATATAATTAATTAGGAATAATATCATGATGTATCAAAAAAAGAAAAGGAGGGTTGATATCTAATGAAAGATAATACATATGTAAAATGAAATATGATGATACATTTTGGAAATATTTGAGTTATTTTAAATTCTGAAAAAATGAGATGGAAAATATGTATATATAAAGGATCGAAATTCTTCTATCTTCATAAAATAAATCCTAGAATATCTAAAAAGAACTATTAAATTACCTGCAAACAGAAATAAAGAATAAAATTACTTATTAAAAAATCACATTTTTAACAAGTAGATTTTTTTCTTCTAAATACTGTAATTATACAACTTAGTTATTAATTAACCTTTTGAAAAGTTGGTTAAACCAAAGGGCATAACTATAAATTAATAGGTGATAAAAGCTGTTTTATCTCAAGCTGTCTTCTTTTTTTGCATGTTTCTGTTCAATGACAATTAATGCACTTGAAGCTTCAGTAACTATCTGTTAATTATCTCTGTTTTCTTTTTGAAATCTCTTTATTATTATAAGAGTTATTTTCTGTAATAAGTGATGATTAGATATATTTGACTATTTTGTTAGTTCATAACCATTTTGATCAATTAGACTTAATTAGACTTTCAAAAGAAAAGGATTTTTTTTTCATACAGATATGCAGATGTTAAGGTAAAGGCAATAATAAAACAACTAAAGCTTCTTGATAACAAAGTAAATGATTTATTTCTGTATTCCTTTAGATATGAACAAGGTTATTGTAACCAGCATATGCAAAGTAAAGTATTAATTTATTTAAATAGAAAATGTTGTTAAAAGAAAGTTAATTTATCAGAATTCTGATAAACTGATTTTTCACTTTATTTTGATTTTGCTTTAAAACACAACCGTATTTACCATGATTAATTAAAGATAATAAGTAATATTTCTTTATCCTTCTTGCTACTATAATTTTCATTTATTTAATATAAAAGATTTGTTTTGATTTGGATTTGGATTTGATTTGAAAAAAAAAAGTATGATCGGGATTTTTTTATCACCTGCGGTTAAATTCGTGTTCAACCTCTTGATTACTCGATTACTTAAGTTCTTTGTTTTATTATCAAAAAATTTTTTTTGAGATATACAAGATGACATCCGAAAATGTAGAGGAAGAAATAAGTGCAAGTTCCTCGACTGAAACTACAACTTCCCAGTTAACTCAGTCAACTCAATCAACTAGTAATAATAATACTAGCAATACTAATGGATCTGGAGAAAACCGAAAGAAACGAAAAAGAAGTCGTTGGGATCAAACTGGTTCTTCTTCAAAAGTCAAAGATGAAACTATTCCTACAGGAGGAGGAATATCACTAACAGATTTGAATACACTACAATCTACTATTACTACTACTACACAGACGATGATACCTAATGTTATTACTGACAGTAGTAACACTACTGCTTCTGCTATTACTACTTCTGATATTACTACTTCTGCTATTACTTCTATTACTACTTCTACCGTCACTTCTGCTATCACTTCTGCTACCACCACTCCTGTTGCAACATCTGCTACTACTTCTACTACTCCAGTAATTTCTCCTGTTCCTTCAGAAAAACGAAAATTTATAAAATATTCAGATACATATAAACCTGGTATGGTACGAGTAGGTTCTAAATGGGTTTATCCCGAAGATGAAATTACGGAAGGTGGTACTTGGGAACATAAAAAACGAGCGGAAGAAATGAAACATACGGCAGGTAAATAAATAAATATTTACTTATTCATTTGTTTCGTTCGTTATTTATTATTTTTATCCGGATTGATTAAAATATTAAAATTTATTCGTTGTCAAAAATGATAATACTTCAAATAAATTGAAATTTAATTTTTATTTGAATAGGACAGGCAGCTATGTTAACATCCCAAGCTGAAGCGAAACGTGCTCATCACATTGCTGACTTTTTACCCAAGGAAGAACTTGAAAAATTTGAACAAAAAGTTAAAGCTGTTAAAACCGGAGGTACAACTCCGGAATATGAAGATTATGCTAATAACAAATTAGATCAATCAAATATTGGATTTAAGATGTTAATGAAACAAGGATGGCAAGCTGGTTCTGGATTAGGAAAATCTGGTGAAGGTATCGCTGCTCCTATTAACAAGTAAGTCTTTTTTTTTTTTGTTCTTTTATTTTCATTTTTTTGATTCATTTGTTTATTTACACTTATTTTTATTATTTAGAGCTGATTCACGTCCTGAAAATGCTGGTTTGGGACAAACTAAACCAGAAGGAGTTGAAGAAGAAGATGATGAATTTGAGATTTATCGTAAGCGTATGATGCTCGCTTATCGATTTAGACCAAACCCTCTGGTATGTTACTATGTATTTTATTTATTATCAAGATTATTATTATTATATACATTACGATATCTACGTTTTATACGTACGTTTTATTATAATTACGTGATTATTACGTTAAAATCATGTTGGTTCAATAGTATATTTTTATTGTCCAATACATATATTGAATATACAAACACAGTATTTCAATGTGATCTCACTTGGTGATATTATTGGTGTTGTTTATTATTATTATGACTATAACTTGATATTTATGAATAATTATTTATTCACTCAATTGTTTCATCCATTTAATTTATTTCACACATATATTATGTGCAACTTTTGAAGATATATCATATAAATATATATATTTTTTTATGGTTTTGATTTTGTGCACTACTAACCATTTGCCCTTCCTAGAACAATCCTCGTCGACCATATTATTGAAACAGTTACAATATATATATATATATATATATATATATATATGTTTAGGGTTACCAAATTTATTACATTAAAAGACAGAGACTTCCATTTTTTCATATTTCTCTTGATAATATTTTCTCTCCGTATTATTTTATCCATTCTTTTCTTTTCCATTTTTTTTTTCGAAATACTCTTTTTCACGTTTGATCATTATCTTATGCAACTAATATAAGATATTTCTTTATTTTATATTTTGGATTCAAAAATTTCATATATCATCAACATCAATCAAGATTAAACATCATATATAATTATTATAATATAATTTACATCCAAGGCAGATTATTTTTATTTTTATTTTCTTTATTTTTGAGAAAGAAATATTTTTAATAGTAGTAACATTGTAGTAGTAATAACGTGTATCGTAACGACAAAAAGTTAAGAAAGTGGAGAAGAAGATAAGGTTTTGAATCAACAATGAAAATTGATATTTTGTACATGTACATATGTCAATTTTTTTTAAACAGAATCTCTTTTCTTTATTATTATTATCATCATCATTATTATATTATTCATCAAATGAATAATTCGAATAATTTGAATTATTTGAATAATTTAATTTATGATATTTTTGTTTTTTTTTATTGTATATATTAGAATGTTCAAGTACAATTTTTATTTTTTTATGTTTATTTTAATTTTATTTTATTTTTTCTTTTTATTTTCTTTTTATTTAATATTAATTAATGATAAAATCATGTTTATATAAAAAAAATTTCTTATATTTGCCAAATGTTTAATTAATAATGATCCGGCTGCAAAAAAAAATAAGGACGCGTATCTATTAAAGAATTTATTGATAATAAATTTAAATTAGATAATATTATATTATTATATTTTTCGATATTTATATTAGTAATAATATATATAGGCAAAATTTCATAATTCCCTGATCCAACGTTAACTTAATTACTTACGCGATAGTTTTTAATCCATATTTCCCACACCAATTTTCTCGTCAACTAAAGATAAAAATAAAATCTATTTGATATCATTATTATTTTTTTAGAACATAGCGAAAATGTGGTGAAAAATGTTCGTAATATTTTTATATTCAAAAAAATACCTAACATGGCTTATTGTAAAAGAAACTTTATTTGACAAATCAAATAAAAATTTTTTTTTTTACTGTATATTTGTTCATTAAACACGTAAGTATGGTTTTATTTTGATATAATAATTGATTAAAAAAGTATTTAAAATATTATAAATAGTAAATTTGCTTACAAATGAATGCTTTCGAATCTAAATTTAATTAATTTTTCTAAAACTCCTGTCAATTTCGTAATAATAATATGAACTTTCTCTTGAATTTTTTGTCAAGTAAAAGAAATTTTCCTTTCTTTTGCGAATGACAGTAATAATGCGATACAGATTATGCAGATTTTAACCAAAATTATTTCTTCTTCTAGGATGATGTTCAAAACGAAAACTCATTATTTATTTAAGCCTGCATTATTGGATGGAGGCTCTTATCAGAATATTTGTTTGGCATTCATTGTTAATAAAATGCATAAAATTATTTCATTTTTTATTATTGGTGACATTATATATAATATGAAAAATGTGGTATTAATATTTTTTTTTGAAATGATAAAATAGAAAGATATGAAATACGTAAGTCATCCCAATCTTTAAACCAGTTGATGAATAATATATAAATATTCTTGTTTGATTGTGAAATATTATTTAAATATTGTCTAATTAATTAACAGTGTATATGTAAAAATATAATATTGAAAAAAATGTTCTATAATATTCAAAATAGTCAAAATAAAATATTCAAGATATTGTTAATAGGAAAAAATGTTAGTAGGAGAGAAAAATGTTAGTAAGAGAGTAAAATGTTAGTAGGAGAGAAAATGTTAGTAGGAGAAAAGAATGTTAGTAGGAGAGAAAGTGTTAGTAGGAGAGAAAAATGTTATAAGGAGAAAAAGTGTTAGTACAAGAGAAAAAGTGTTAGTAGGAGAGAAAGTATTAGTAAGAGAGAAAAAGTGTTAGTAAAGAAAAAGTGTTAGTAAAAAGTGTTAGTAGAAGAGAAAATAATGATAGTAGAAGAGAAAATGTTAATAGGAGAGAAGTGTTAGTAAGAGAAAAAAGTGGTAAAAGGAGAGAAAGTATTAGTAGGAGGTAATTTTTAGTAGGAGAGAAAATAATGTTAGTAGGAGAGAAAGTATTAGTAAAAGAGAAAGTGTTAGTAGGAGAGAAAGTATTAGTAAGAGAAAAAATGTTAGTATGAGAGAAAATGTTAGTAGAAAAGAAAATATTAATAAGAAAAAAAGTGTTAATAGGAGAAAAAGTATTAGTAAGAGAGTAGGAGAAAAAATGTTAGTAGGAGAAAAAGTATTAATAGAAGAAAAAATATTAGTAAGAGAGAAAGTATTAGTAGAAGAGTAGGAGAAAAAATGTTAGTAGGAGAAAAAAATATTAGTAGGAAAGAAAATAATATTAGTAGGAAAAAAAAATGTTGGTAGGTAAAAAAAAATTTTTTTTCAGAGAATGGGGATCATTTATAAGTAATATAGCAAATTAGTATAGTATGATTGTGAAATCTAATAAGTATATATAGATAATCAGTAGTACAATAATTTCTATTATATGTTAATTTTGATTGGACCATATGATAAATAAATACAACAATCAAAAATAATTAAAATAATAATTAAATTTAATAAAATTTCATGTATCATAAATAAGTTTTTTAATAAAATATATGAACTTTTGTGAATTTTCTGATGTTGAAATTATAGATAATAATTTTTTTTGAAATCAATTTTAATATAGAAGTGAATTAATTGAATATTGAATATATTTTTTTATTTTTTTAAAAATAAAATATTTTTTAAATGATTGTTAAGTAACAAAACTATAGAAAATAATGAAACTGATATTGAAAATGAAGATATTATAGCTATTTTTTCTAAAAAGACACATATTAAAGAAATTTATTATTCAACTTTATCAATAGAATATTCAAATATATCAGAAGATAGTATAGCAACAGTATATAATATTAAGGTTGAAATAATTCTAGAAATTGTTGAAATAATGTAAGTAATTATTATTTAATCTTTATTTGAACTTTATTTATTTATAAAATTATTGAATAAATAAAAATTCTTTTTTTTAAATTCAATATTTATTAGGGAATAATAAACAAAATTCTCTTAAAAATAATTCTTTCTTTGATAATATTAATATAAAAAAGGAAAAAAATTATATATAGGAATTAAATATTGTGAATATATTGATCTTGAATTAATTAACCTTAATTATAGTGAAGTTGATTATAACTTAGATTTTTACAAAAATTTTAAAAAATGATAATTCAGAAATCACAAAAAAATCTAAAACATATATGTATGTAATTTATTTAATTTATTTTTTTTGTTAATTTGAATAATTATTTTAGATTTTATTTGAAAATAATAAATTTACAATGTCAAATTTGTTAAAATAAAATTAATTATATAGAAAAATCTAAATTAATTTATGTCATCAATTATCAAACTTCTATTTTCAATTATATAATTATCTGTGATAAATACAATCTTAATAACAAATACCATAGATATATCAAAATAAATTCAAATTTATATGATATTTCTTTACTAAGAGATTTATTAAATGGAAATACTATAATAGTAAATTTATTTTTTATTTAATGTATATATTTAAATTATAAAAAGATAATTAATTTTATTTTCAATTATAAGATAAATAAAATATATTGAAACATTGTACAACTATTTTTCATAAAGTTCTAAATAAAAATTATATAGTAATTAATATAAAAATTATATTAAAATATACTATTTTATAATTATAATTTTAAAATTAATTACATATTTAAATTTTTATAGAAAATATATATATTAATTTTGATAACAATATTATTAGAAAAAATATTAAAAAAAAATGAGAAATACAATTTACTCTTTTAATTTTATATAATTTAAAATAATATTCTAACTATACATGTTTTCAAAATTGATTTTGGATTTTTGAGATATTTTGACTTTTTGAAATTTATGCAAAATCTATTCTATATATGGAAGTAAAAAAAGTATCCAATTATGTATATATTTAATCAAGGAATAAATCTGGGTGGTCAAAAAATTTCGGATTTTAAGTAAAATAATTTCATCTTCTATGAAAAATTATTTTAACTTTTTTCTCCGAAATTACAATTTTGAGGCCTTAAAATAATTTTACATGCAAGTATAGTTCTAACATTGTAATTATATATAAAAGTTTATATAATTATTTTTTATCACTATCAAAAAAAATTTTTAATGGAATTAAAAATAATTTTCAAGTATTAATAAAAAATACTATTGAAGAAGATAATTTAGTTATTACTAATATTATAATTTCTGATAATTTATTTAATAATTTTTTATTAATTTAATTTTTAAAAAAATTTTTTTTTATTAATTTAATTATTAAAATTTATTATTTTTTTTATTAATTTAATTTTTAAAAATTTATTTAATTTTTTTTATTAATATTATTTTTATTTATTTAATTATTAATTAATTTAATTATTAAATAAATAATTTAAAAAATTTGGTAAAAATAAATTTTGAAACAGAAACATTGTTTAATATACATGTTTTATTAAATAATATTAATAGATTATATTATTTAATTGGAAAGTTTATAAAAATATATATACTTTTGAACAAGGTATATTGGGTATCATTTATAATATACAAACTAAATAATTAAAACTTCATAACTATATGCATACAATAAATAATTAAAATTTATATTTTAAATATTTTAATATTTATTTATATCTACTAATATTTTAATTTAATTTAATTATTATTTAAATATTTATCTTAAAGAATTAATTATTTTTGTCTGTATATTATTAACTTTATTTCTTTAATTTTTATATATATATTTATTATTAATATTATTATATTTAATAATATATTTTATTAATTAGATTTTTTCATTTGTATAATATTTATATTAATACTATTATTTACGAGTAATAAATATATATCATTTTTGATTATAACATGAGATCACCACTTCTGGTTAACACTTTTGATTAACACCTCTGGTCAACACCTCTAATAAATACCTCTAACACAAATAATTCATTAGCAAAAATAACTCATGGAATATCTTGGAATATAACGGAAATTTCCAGAATTTTCTTGAAATTAGTAATTATAGTCTTATAATAAGTTGTTAATTTTATATAAATAAAAGTAACCTTTGTCTTTAGAGTTAGGACAGTTAAAACTTAATTATATTCTGAACTTAATAATTGTAATAAATTATTAATAAAGTCTTTATAACAATTTGATAATTTAACTCTCTAATTTCTTAGTGAAATACTTTTATAATAATTTCCTGCTTCATGATCTCAGTATTATTTTGTTTATATTTAACTTTGCTTTGTGATCTAAATTAATTATATTAATTTTGTGTGAATTCTTGTAGTTTCTGTGTAAAACTAATATTATTCTTTGTGAATAACTACAAACTTAGTGTAAAACTCTATACCCCTTTAAATTCTTACACCTTTAGTCTCTTTCAAACAAACCTGCAACACTAAAATCCTTTATCTTTTATACTTTCTCTATAATATAAATTTTCCAACTTTAACATATTCGTCTAATAGTTTTGTGACTTTTTAAACAATAGTTTTCTTGTTATTAGTTGTTAGTTAATCAGGTTTAATAAAGGTAATCACAGTTAACAATATTTAAAAATCAAGTAAATATAATTCATAATCTCAAAATAATTAAAATTGATTTTAATTTTTAAATAAATCAAAGGTGATATAAATGAATTTAAAATTAATCACTATAATTCTATACATAAATTAAGTAAGTATATATTTATTTTTTTTTATTTTAAATTAAATAATTATTTATTAATTAATTAATTATTTATTTATTTACTTGTTTTTTTTTTATTTTTTATTTTTTATCTTTTAATTAATTAATTAATTATTTATTTATTTAATATTTATATTAGTTTTATCTTATGCATGTTGTTAACCTTGATTTACCTTCTAAAGAAACCAAAGAAAACTAAGCGACTAATAGTGGAAATTGTATTTATAGACTTTAAACACTATAACAATTAACTACAGCCGGACGGGTATTACTATTGATAAAGT